GCAAAAGCTTAAGTGTGGGGGAATCTCATAAGTTTGTATTTAGACACACATTTGATGCATGTTTAGATCGACTTTTGATGGGTTCCCTAATTATTTTGTGTCACAAGTCTCAATTTTAGCTCAAATTATGTTTACCGAGCGTTGGTTCGAGTTTTGTGTTGTTTGGAGTCAAAATCAGGAATTTAGAGTCCGGCACCGGCGCTTAAGGAGCAAACGCACGGCACCCACACACGCGTGCGTCCAACGTTTTTACGCGCAAGTCTGTCGGACGCACAAACGCCACGCACGCGTGTGTGGGTGCCGTGCATGCCCCGTTTCAGTCCTAATTCAACCTGAATTGCTCCGTTTTTCCTATTTAAACAGCCTGTAAACCCTTGTTTTGAGGGGAGGTTAGAGAGAGTGTCTAGCACGAAATTTAGAGAGCTTTTCAGCCCTGTTCATCAATCTTTTGGGATTCTTTGTAAGAACCCATTAGTTTAATTTCTTTTATTTTAATCATTCATTCGCATTAGTTAATTATCCAAATCAACCAATCTCGCACGACACATTTATTTTATTTATTTTTAATCGCTGAATTTATTTTATTTTTAATTCCTTTTTATCGTCCCTGTGGAGACGATACTCGTACTTACACGGGAAAACTATCAAATAGGCCCTCGTACTATTGAAAAAACGTCAATTAGGCCCTCCTACTTAATTATCCCCCAATTAAACCCCCCAACTTACAAAAAAAACCCAAAAACACATTTTAGCCGGTATGCTCTTGGTTTGCCGGTTAATTGCTCACGTGGGTAGTGATGTGGCTGCAATTATCCATGTAAGCTTTTTGTAAGCGTCGTTTATATTTCTTATGACCCAACTTCAACGGCCATTTACCCCCAAATTATTTTAACACTAAGTTTCACGTTCTTGGAGTCGGGTATGAACCAGAGAGGACCCAGCGTAAGAAGCACGAGCGTGGGTGGTTGACATTACTTCTCACATTTAGTTATGCGCATTACAGGTATGTATGTTTAGTTATATGAGAACTTTGGAACGGTTCATTAACCTTTGGGAGCCATTTGTGATTGGTTTGTTTGTTGATTTGTTGAACATTTAATCGGCAAAATCAATACTTACATTCCTTTTGATGTTGTTATGTTCTTTATTATCATGTTAATCTTTTTATGCACACTAGAAGTCATACCAACCAACCACGTGCTTTTCAGAATGTTTGACAGGGTTGAACTAATAATTCATAATGGGGGGAGAGGTGTGAGAGGAAGAGGAATAAGGAGTGTGACTCAAAGTGGGTTTGGTGTATATACTCATCCTCAATCCGGAGCCACATTCTTGAATGTAAGATATACTTGTGTTTGTATTACTAATAAAAATTAAGAAATATGTATAGTGCTAATAATACTTTTTTTTCAGCGTGGACAAGAAGGCCAAACCATGATGACTGACACTTTCATTTCTACTACTCATTTAGAAGCTGAATTGGACATTTGAAAGTTTGGAAGATTGGATGTTAAGGGTAGGGTAGTCTGTTATAGTATGTGTATTTAGACTTGTGTAAAAGTCTACTAATGACTTTTGTAATGTAGTAGTTATTTTTGCTGAATGTTGAAACCGGATGTATGTTGGGTGTTTTGGAACCGAATGGCTTTGTATTTAGGCTTGTATTTTGGTGTTTTGGAGCTGAATGGCCTTGTATTTAGGTGTTCTGGAACTCAATGTTGGAGCTAGATGCTGAAATGCATGTGTTTTGGAATGTAAATTGCAGTATGCTTAGAAGTAATATTAATTCTGCTTTATTATTAACTATGGACCAATAATAATAGCTTTATTCTGCTTTAATTGTTAATAATATCAGATGCTCTGCAGTCATGCTCTGCTTTAAAATTTGAGTATGTAAGATGATTTTTTAAAGTTTGAAATGTACACACTTGACTGCAGTCATGCTTTGCTTTTAAATTTGAGTATGTAAGATGGTTTTTTAAAGTTTCAAATCTTACCTTATGGCAAACCGGAACCTTATGGCAAACCGGAAACTTACCGGCTAAAAATCTTTTTTGGTCGGTTTTCCTAAGTTCGTGGGTCTTATTGGGCGATAATTAAGTATGAGGGCCTAATTGACGTTTTGATTAAAGTACGAGGGCCTATTTGACAATTATCTCTACTTACACCATTATTCTACGATCTATTTTAAGTGCGAGAAAACACACATCAATCAACTACACCCAATGCTATGGTTGAAACGTCAGATTCGGGAACAACACATCATCTCCATTTTTTGGATATGAAGGTGTAATATGTGAAAATGTCACAATCAAAGTTGCCTCTTATGTTTAAGGACTAAACACATTGACCTTCATTACCATTTCATAAAGGATCATGTTGAAAAAGGTACATTACACATGTATTTTGTTAGTACAAAGTTTCAACTGGTAGACATTTTCACTAAAGCACTGGATAAAAAGAGATTCAATTTTTGATTTCTAAGTTGGGAATGCTAAACAACAATCCTTAATTTTCTGCATTTTTTTTTAATTTTTTTATTCAAATTTTTTCCATTATCATGCATATGTCAAGGGGGAGTCGTGTTTCTAAAACACCACATCTGTCGAGGGCATTTTGTTTTCTAAATGCTACATTCATTAAGGGGAATTTTTTCTTAAAATCTTTTTTTGTCCCATTAGTAGTTTAAGTTTCTCAGCGTTATAAATGCTTTGCGCATCTCCCCTCCCCACACTCACTTAGCGCATCTCTCAAAATTCTCAAACCTCCCCTTCGACGAACCAACCTCTTCTTCTTTTCAAAGGTCAAACTTCTACTCCTCATCTCTCGCATCTTTACTCGTATCATTTTTTTGAATGTGCTTGAACATGTGCCAAATTACCAGGGAACATGAGCACACATCATGCGCACACAAGGCAATGAGCTAACCTCATGCGCGAACAAGGCCATGCGCTAACCTCATGCGCAAACAAGGCCATGCGCTAACCTTATGCGCGAAAAAGATCCATGCGCTAACCTGTGTGAACAAGGCCATGCGCTAACCCTCACTCGTGCACTAAACTTAACTTTGCACCAATCTTTCTTAAGGGGTTTCAAACAAACAACTCTCACACATTCACTCAATCACATGTTCTAATTGTTTTATAATTTTTAGAATTTCATGGCAGATATGGACCACATCGAGACAGTCTACTCTCATCAAGAATGGTACCCGCTCAAAGAAAACAATTTCCAACTTGACCCTGAAGTCTTCTCATGTCAAGACGAGGTCATGGTTGCAATTCTGAAAGGGCATATCATTTGGAAAGTCCTGACCCGTACAACAAAAGTACCATAAGTATATCTCCATCAATTTTGGGGAACATTACAAACGGATGGAGATGCTAGTGAAGCACAAATTCTCACGACCACAAGTGATAGAACAGAGGTCCAGATCACCAAAAGGCTACTCTAGTTTGTACTCCAAATTCCCTCTCAGAATCATTATGATGGGTATGCCTCTGAGGAACACATAACAAAAGACATGATCACACTAGGCCATTCTTCTCCAATTGCCCTATGTACGATGGTTTTCCATGATGGTATGATGTTTCTGCCGCACAACTCCTACTATTCACAGAAGACCACCCACGGAGAACTTTGTACCACCTACTCTGAGGTACCTACAAAAGGTGAAGGCATGTCATATCTTCGTCCCTATGCAGATTCCAATATAACTTCTTCAACTTGCGGATTCGAACAATGAGACATTCATCAGATACTGTCAGGCACAAAACATCATACTTCCTATGGCTCAGATAGCCGCCCCGACATAAAATCGAACCGAAATTGAACCAAATTTTCTACTTTGGTTTTTGGTCAAAACCAAACCGAATAAATTGAACCTAGCCCTAGACAAGGATCCCCTAAAATGGAGGGAAATATTCATATAAATAGGAAAAGGTGGAAGGGGGTGCATAAGCTACCTTAATGGGCCAAAAGGGCCAAAACAGACCGAAAAGGCCAAAATAGACCGAAAGGGTCGAAATGGGTCTCACAGATCGAGTCCTGTAAGGGGGTAATGTGTTGGGCTTCCGAAATTATAGTGGGCCAGAGTCCAGTACCTAATAGAGTACATAGTTCATTATCAATCAAAAAATGAGGCACAGAGTCACGCCCTCATGAAACACACGAACAAAAAATGAAATCCTATAAATAGGAATACTTAATTCGATTCCTTAATAAGGGATTCCACATTTTAGGGTTCAATGCACCAAATCTCCTTCTGATATAAAAATTCACGCATCAGACATATGTGATTTAAAAATGTGTCAACCCCCTTGTTTATAATTAATCATGCGCACAATCTCTTCTATGAACAAAATTAATTGTTAAATAAAAGAAAAACGATCAGCATTTTTGTATAATTTAGATATTTTGATAAATTTATGACTTTTTCCCTAAATAATGTTAAATAAAAAATAGTTAGCAAATTAGTTTCAGCTTAAAAGTATTTATCAAAATACTAAAAGTATTTATCAAAATACTAGCTAAACCCTGGTTAAAAAGACCACCGCTTGAACTGACATCTTAGGCAAAAGTAGCATGAACGTAACAAGGTAGATGACAAAGAGGAATGTTAGTTGGGGGTCCCACCTTAGAAAAATCCCAAGTTTTTTTAATAAAAAAATCCATGTTTTTAAAAAAATGTTATAGCTTTTTCATTTGTACTTCGATTTTTGAAAAATATATATCAAAATTAGTAATTTTTTATTATATTTCAAATGACATCAATATTGAATATATAAAAACAAAAAAGTATTTAGCATTTCAACAAATTATTTAACAGTTTCAAAAACATCTGATTTTTAACATAAGAAAATTTAATACATTTTTTTAAAAAAATGTACATTTGTATATACTCCGTATCTGGTTTGACCATTAAACCCCCGATTTTGATGTCCTCAATACGGAAGTAATAATAACGGAGTAATGATAAGGGATTCGGATAATGACAAATTTGGGGTGTACCGTTATCGGTCACACACGCAAACCGGGAAAACTGAAACCAGATAAGACTGACACTCCATTCTAGACTCAGCATCCCCGAACTCCAGGTCTTCAAATCCAACCTCTACTCCTTCACGTCTTTGCCTAATTTGTTTGGCGAACCACAGAGATTTGCAGAGCCGGAGACAATGGTGGCCGTGATCACTCAGGACGACTTTAACAGCAACAACAAGCAACCTCTTGTCTTTGCTTACTATGTCACAGGCCATGGATTCGGACATGCTACTCGTGTTGTCGAGGTAATTCGCCCTTATTGTGCTCATGTATTCGATTTTGTTCTTCGATTTCTCCGATAGATGATGTTGATACTTTGACGGTGTGATTCCCACAGTAAATCCTCTCTAGTCTGGAAATTCCGCATTTTTCTACTGTAGATTAATCGCACCACATCTCAATCACTTAAAAAAGTCTCCCTTTTTATTTACGGTAGTTTTTGTCTCTCTGTAATTTCGAGTTTTATCTTTGATTTTTCTGAACTGTACCATAATTTTTTGGCGTTCACTGTGTGATTGCCATTGCAGTCCTCTCTGATCTAGTGGAAAAGCCGCAAAACCGGTGATTAATTCCACTGCATTTCAATGTCCCTTAAAATCTCCTAATTGAATCGTGATAACTACGGCTTTGACCTGGACCCCCAACCCCAAGTCAAGGATGTCTTGAGTTTAATGTTTATGATCTTATTAATGGTCATAAACTATGCTTCGGATAAAACAAATATAGATAATCATATGCTCAGCTAAGCTCTTAGAAGAATGTACTATAGTTCATGTTTATGCCTAATAGAGACTTTTGTGTTCGTCTCTGGGGTTAGGTTGCTCGGAATCTCATTCTGGCTGGACATGATGTTCATGTGATTACCGGTGCACCGGATTTTGTTTTCACATCAGAGATAAAATCTCCCAGACTTTTCCTTCGCAAGGTGGGGAATGCTGCTATCTTTCAGAAGCTGATGCAATCTATGTTTAGCTGCTGATGTTTCATTACATATTTTGACACAATTGGTAACCACAGGTACTGCTAGATTGTGGAGCAGTTCAAGCGGATGCTTTGACAGTGGATCGACTAGCCTCATTGGAAAAAGTATGCATTTTTTACATGTTCCTATAATCGTCACCATAATTCCAACTAGATGTGGTCATTAGCATGATTTTTATATAATATGACTTAATTTTCTTAAATAGTTTACATTATAAATTATTGCACGCCGTGTTGTCAGAACCTTCTTACGAGGGAATAGTTTGTTCACTTGCATTGATATTTGACACACACAATTTTCTAGCAATATTTATAGTTTAAAAATCATCATGCCTGATTGACCGCTGTGTTTAATTCATTTTTTCTGTTCATTGATTCAGTATTCTGAGACTGCTGTTGTACCGCGTGCATCGATTTTGTCTACAGAAGTGGAATGGCTGAAATCCATCAATGCAGACTTAGTGGTACTAAAAGTGTTTGTTCTCTAATATCTTTAATAAGCTAAAATTGTATTTTTACCCATCTTTGTAGTTTACAAGTACAATGCAGATTAAAGTCATACTTAAAAGTATTTTGTGTGCCCTATATACATACTCATAAGTTCCCAATCTATCACATTATGATTTTCTCTTCTGAAGTTTTACTGGGGACATGTAGTAGAAAAGTCTCTCTTAGCATTTGAATTATGCATCTTCATTTCAGAGTAGATGCCAAACTTATAGCTATACCAATGGAACAGGTATCAGATGTTGTTCCAGTGGCTTGCCGGGCAGCAGCTGATGCTGGGATTCCTTCAGTCTGTGTTACCAACTTCAGGTTATTGAACAGTCCATCTGTCGTATTATTCTCCTGTCCCAAGATGCTTCTATGTCTACTTATATAAAGCAGCAGAAATATTAAAATAGTACTGTCCTTTTGACACTTGATAAAAAAGTCTTTCAGATATTCTATTATTTGTTGCTGTTAGATCAAGTATGAGATTTTCATTCTACAAATAAATGTATACTTTTTCTATGAACATCAACTGTTATTCGTAACAGTCTTTTTACTATTATTTCAGTTTGCAGTTGGGACTTTCATCCATGTTTCTATTTTCTACTTGTATATAGCAGTAGTAATAATTAAAATAGTAGTTTCCTTTTGACACTTGATAAAGAATTCTTTCAGATATTCTGTTATTTGTTGCTGTTAGATCATGTATGAGTTTTCATTCTACAAATAATTTATACCTTTTCTATGAACATCATCTGTTATTCTGGACAGTCTTTTTACTATTATTTCTGTTTACAGTTGGGACTTCATCTATGCAGAGTATGTCATGGCTGCGGGAAATCATCACCGGTCAATTGTTTGGCAGGTTAAAAATGATTTTGTTGTTTTCATGAATGTCACAATATATTAGCTTTTCATGCTATTTCTTTATATTATTTTTAGAAGTAATGTAATAACTGATGATAAGGACACTATAAAAGGTGTTACAAGAAGTTGATGAAGACATGTTTTTCATGAAAAACTGATTGGTAAAGAAAAAAGCTGGCAGTGGAAGAATTATAAGGCTAAAGTTGTACTCCTTCAGTTAACTTTAGTTCGCACTAGCAGGTTTTTCTAGGAAATTAAGAGTAAAGTACTACGGATAGTGAGTAGTATAAATCAGTGGAAAAATAGGAGAGAAAAGAATAAAAGGTTGTAAAAGTTGGAAAGAGAAGATGAAAAGTAAGGAAATTTAGGTCTCTTTGTACATGTGTAGTTGTGAAAAATGGAAAGTGGAGCAAGTTTAAACTCCCATAAAAGGAAAGTGATGCAAGTAAAAGCAAGTATTTTTGTTGAAACAACTTTTCTGTATACTGAGCTACTTTGTTGCTTACTAGCTTTACATTTTATATTTTCTTGGTGTAGATTGCTGAGGATTATTCTCATTGCGAATTCCTTATCAGGCTCCCAGGGTTCTGCCCAAGTATGTTGGTTTTCTCATTATTGAGAGCTTTGTTTTGTTTTTCTTTTACTTCTCATAAACTATGATTTTTAAATGCTAAAAAATGGTTGACGGTGCGGATGCTGTCTTAACTAACATAACAGTGCCTGCTTTCCGGGATGTAATTGATGTACCTCTAGTTGTCCGGAGACTGCACAAATCTCGTGAAGAGGTCTGAGTGAGAGCATTTGGTTCCAATTTATCAGTATTATACACTCTTCTTGTCTTGGATCACCATGACATTTTTTTTTTTCTTTTAATGTTATAGGTAAGGAGAGAACGGGGAATTGGAGAGGAAGTTAAGGTTGTAATTCTCAATTTCGGTGGGCAGGTGAGTCCTCTAACCAGTTTCTCTAGCTTTATCTGATAAACACGACCGTTTAGATGGCCAGATATTATAAGGAAGACTCTGGCTGCACTCTATTTTCTAAAAGGGGTGTATTTAACTATTTATGACTATTTGTAGCTTAAATATTCCACTTTTACTGAAGCTGGCGATACAAGTTAGAGTCTTTGTCATATATTTTAGTTTGAAATGAAATATTTATGCTATACCTCTAATTGCTTAGACAACAAAAATGATTTTGTTGTTGTTGGTTGGCGCTCTAATTCTGAAGAGAAGTGTGAAATATAAGATTGTATTCATTATACTTCATATTAAATGCTACACAAGAAGCTATATTTATAGCTATATTTAAAGCACTAGGGTTTCTTATACAAGATATACAAATGGGCTAAGCCCAATACTACTAGGGTTTCCACACTTCTTCTCAAGCTGGAGCATATAAATCATATGTACCAAGCTTGTTACAAATATATCCCACTCTAAGACCTCTAAGAGACTTAGTTAAAATATATGCAAGTTGTTCAGTTGTGTTAACATAATTTGTGATGATATGTCCACTTGTGATCTTCTCTCGGATAAAATGGCTATCAACTTCAATATGCTTAGTTCTCTCATGATGTACTGGATTTGATGCAATGTGCATTGCGGCTTGATTGTCACACATGAGTTGAATTGGTTTTGTGTTTCCATATTTTTACTCTTGAAGAAGATGCTTCAACCATAAGATTTCACATGTAGCAAGAGCCATTGCACGATATTCTGCTTCAGCACTAGATCTAGCAACCACATCCTGCTTCTTACTTTTCCATGAAATTAAGTTTCCACTGATCAAGATGCAATATCCCGAAGTGAAACGTCTATCCATCGAACATTCCCCATCCACATCACAATATCCCATAATATCATGGTGGCCTCGATCTTCGAACAAGAATTCTTGCCCTGGTGTTTTCTTGATGTATCCCAAAAATCGGATAGCTGCATCCCAATGTCCATTACATGGCTTATCAAGAAACTGACTAAAGACACTTACCGCAAATGAAATATCTGGTTTAGTGATGGTAAGATAATTCAATTTGCCGATGAGTCTTCCATATTTTTCCTTGTTGAGCAAAAGATCTCATTGTTCTGAAAAGAGTTTAACGTTTGAATCCATTGGTGTATCCACTGACTTGCACTCTAGCATACCTGTTTCCTCAAGAATATCCAAGGCATACTTTCTTTGTGAGAGGGCAATTCCATTTTAAGACTGCGCGACCTCAATGCCAAGAAAATAACTCAACTTTCCCAAGTCTTTTGTTTGGAATTTGCTCAAGAGATATTGTTTGAGGAGCATAATTCCTTGTTCATCGCTACCTGTAATGACAATATCATCAACATACACAACAAGATAAATATATTTGTTGCCTGCAAAAAGTCTGTAGAATATAGAATGATTAACATCACTCCGAATCATGCCAAAGCTGCGGACAACGACACTAAACCTTCCAACCATGCACGTGGAGATTGCTTCAAGCCATATAACGAACGACGTAATCTTCACATCAAAGCAGACTCCCCCTAAGCAATAAATCCAGGTGGTTGCTCCATATAAGCCTCCTCGTGCAAATCCCCATGAAGAAATGCGTTTTTAATATCCAATTGGAAAAATGACCAGTGGCTCATTGTTGCCATGGATAAAATCAAACGGATCGATGCAATCTTCGCTACAGGAGAAAAAATGTCAGTGTAATCCAATGCATAGATCTGAGTATACCCTTTCGCCACAAGGTGTGCTTTAAAACGATCAATCTTCCCATCAGGCTCAACTTTAACCGTGCAAATCCGCCAAGCATCCAACCACTGATTTGATAGTGGGAAAGGGGACTAGGTCCCATGTCCCACAACAATGAAGAGCCTCCATCTCAGACAACATGGCCTTACGCCACTTTGGGTGGTCCAGGACGTCATGTGTAGTTTTAGGAATGCAAATATGAGAGGAAATGAAAGCATAATAAGGCGTAGAGAAGCGGTGATAACTCAAAAAGTTATATATGGGATGTGGGTTCAAAGTAGAACACGTACCTTTTCGAAAGCAATGAGCAAATCATCTTGAGTATTTTGGGGTGCTGAGGTAGCTGATGGTGATGATGCAGGATCCGTCGTAAGGGAATTAACTGGAATGGCCACAGTAGGCACAGTGGGAGGAGGTCGAGGACGTCGATGGTATACTTGTAAAGTTGTAATGGACGATCTGCCATAGGAGAGCAATTTGGGTCCTCATTAGATGGGGGGTTAATGGGAGTCTCTAGATGGATGGATCAGAGATATGAGATGAAGTCCAAACATGATGGGGTATCAAGTGAAGATAATGGATAATAAAAGGACGACTCAATGAAAGTGACATCGGCTGAAATAAAATGTTTCTTATGTAATAGAGAATAACAACGATAACCCTTTTGGAGTTGCGAATACCCAAGAAAGATACAATTTATTAATCTAGTCGACATTTTAGATAATCCAGGTGTCGTATCAGGGACAAAACACACACACTCAAACACATGAGGTGGTAATGGAAATAAATCACGAGTAGGAAACAAAGCAGAATAGGGAATTTCATTATTAAGAACTGAGGAAGGCATTCTATTTATTAAATGACACGCAGTGAGCACAACATTTGCCCAATACTGAGGGATGTGATTGTAATAACAAAGTACGGGCAATATCAACTAAGTGTCGGTTCTTGTGTTCAGCAATCCCATTTTGTTGAGGCGTGTGAACACAAGAAGATTGGTGAAACATACCTCATGATGTCATGAATTGATTAAAGGATGTCCCAAAAAGTTCTTTAGCATTGTCACTGCGTAAAATTTCGATAGAATGACCAAATTGAGTTTGAATTTCAACACAAAAAGTTTGAAAAATATGAAACAATTCAAAACGTTCTTTCATTAAAAGACGTTTTAATGACCAAATCCTTTGTTGTTTCCTCCGTCAGATCTCATAAACGACATTTTTAATACTTTTTTTTCCTTTTTTTGTGCTTTTTTTAAGAAGTAGCAGAAATTAAAAAAAAAATCAAAGTAGTGCAGCAATAACTCTCCAAAGCAGCAGATGGATAGTGCTGGCTGTGTTGACCAGTACTGCCTTCGTCACTCCAAGGGGACAGTAACTCTCCAAGGCTGCTGGGTGAGGCAGCGACGACGGTTTTCCCGGTAGGTAAGTTGCAATGAGCACGACGGTAGGCTCAAATCACTACCGAAAGCACGACATACGCGACCACTATTCACGCCAGAATTTCTGGCCAGAGTTTCTACCCGGAATTTCTGATCGGCAGAAATATTATTAACACTAACTAGATGTATTTTCCATATTGGCTCTGATATCATGTGAAATATAAGATTGTATTCATTATACTTCATATTAAATGTTATACAAGAAGCTATATTTATAGCTATATTTAGAGCACTAGGGTTTCTTATACAAGATATACAAATGGGCTAAGCCTAATACTATTAGGGTTTCCACAAGAAGAAAGATCTTTTATGACACATTAGAGGAGTCGAGAGTGATATGCTTTTTTTTGGGTTGGGTGAGAGTATGCAGAAAGCAATGTGGAGGGCGGATATTCGTGTGGATGATTGATCTCTTATCACCTTTTTTTATCCCTTTATCTTCTTTTTCTTTCGTATGTTCTTTGTCCTTTTATCCGTTTTATTATTAGTATTATTATATATATATATATATATATATATTCTGTTTATCCCTTTTTTATCTTAATCATTTTTACCTTTATCGGATACTCCATATTTATCTTTTTTTTTCTTTTAATCTTTTTTATCATACCTTATCTTTTTTTCTTTCTTTTCCTTTTGCCTTGGATATCATGTATTGATTCATATTAGCTGACTCCGAAATCTTTTGGGAATAAGGTTTGGTTGTTGTTGTATGTGTGTATGCATGTATTATGTACTTTGTGTGTATGTGTGTATGGGTGGTACGCTATTTTGGGCCTATATCCATGACAAATAGTAAACCATATTTGGGCGATGAAGTTCATAAAATAAAGACGAGAATCACTTTATTATTATATAAGTTACATATTTGGGCAAACGTAACAACACGAGTATCGAATAAAAAGAAAAAATATTACTTAAAAACGTTTCTCGTAGACCAATGTGAAGCAAATCATTAATAATTGCTTCATAGGCAACCTTCTTTCCACTAATAAATATGACACAATAAAATTGCCACATATAACTACATTAAACTTTCTTTTGAAAGGATAAATGAAAAGAAATATTACCACATATTGAATTCATAAGTTGAGAATGATTTATTGACCGCTGATGAGAGTCTAAAGTTTGAAGTCTCGAAAGAATGAAGGTTTTCAAAGAAAAGATGTTTGGCTGTCAAGAGGACTCGCGCAAGAAGATTGCAAATTTGATGTCCTCTAAAACTACTATTAGGAACTCAGATATAGCTTATTTGAGATTTGGAAACAAATGAATAATTGGGGTGAAATTTGAGAGAAACAGACTCTTAAATAAATATATAAATTTTTTATGTTATAATTAAATTGAATAAAAACCTTAAAAGCTAAAAAGATGTGAGGACTGGAGAGACGTGTCTTTTATTTATGCAACAACAATTGTATTGCTTTTAAAAACTACAACTGATGCTGCTAAAAATTAATGTATATATTTTGTTTTAAACCTGTCTCTGTTTAAGACTCTTTGTTTATGTTTTAAAATTTTCAAATTATCAACAAAATTAATCATTAGGCCTAATTAATTGAACTTAAGAATAAAAAAAGAAACCTACTCACACTATATATAAAGAAACATTTTTGGGCCTATTTTTTCTTCTATTTTTTTTCGGGCCTAGGGCGGTCACCCCTCTTGCCCCCCTCTCAGAACCGCCCTGGAGTGTATGTGTGTATGCGTGTACTTTTTGTGTGCGCACTTTTATGTTTAAGGACATAAGGACTAAGGAGACTGTGTATGTGTTTGCACGCGTGTTTATGTATAAGCAGATGAGGAGACTGTTTTTATGTGTGTTTGTGTGTATGTACTATTTGTTAGTTTTGTTTGCTTTCCGTAGTTCATTGGTGCTTATATACTTCCTACATGTATCGTTTATCTATATTTATATACAGTACTAGCAAATGCATCACTTATGACTTGTGAGGTTTAGTCTCAAAACTTGTACCTTTTTTAAAAGATCTCTAACCATCCCTTTACAGCCCGCAGGTTGGAAGTTGAAAGAGGAGTACTTACCTTCTGGTTGGCTCTGCCTGGTACTTCCATTTCCTCTTCACTCTCCATTACAATAGGTCGTGGCATTTCAGGCTTTCCACAATTTGGTTTACATTTAATAGCTCATGCTCAGGTCTGTGGTGCTTCTGATAGTCAGCAGTTACCTCCAAACTTTATAAAGCTTGCAAAAGATGCTTACACTCCTGACCTTATGGCAGCATCTGACTGTATGCTAGGTTAGTGAATACTTTTTCAGTTTTCTTTGACTTCCAAATATAAATTTCCATATATTTCACAAAGAGTATAGTTTTCACAATGGGGTTTTGACAAGAATATTACTAACAGTAGGTTATGGACAAAAAAGAGTCTTTTTTTGAGTTTCCAAAAATGGGACTAAATAAGCACTAAATCTGGAAACTCCTAATTGCATTTTACTTAACTACCCCTCATAATACCGAGTGACACCATCTGTCAGTGACCTGATCCTGACGCCACACTAACCAATAATCAGCCAGTGACCACCGCCGGCGACAGTGACCATCGCCGGCGACAGTGACCACCGCCGGCGACAGTGACCACGCCGGTCACAGTGATCACCGTCAATATGAAACCCTAGATGCTAGCGCAAAGAAGATGATCCAGGAGCCCCAGATCTAGATTTTCATCTCTGATTGGGCTTTAGGGTCCGGAGTGTAGCGGCTGTTTGCGGAAAGAAGAAAGGAGAAGAATACGAGGAGTTGCAGCTGACGACGGGGGCAGGCACTGAACTAGGCGGCGGAGGATGGGAGCGGCAAAGGAGACAAGGGACAGCAGAGTTGTCGTCGTCCTTACAAACCCTAGTTAGCCTCGCCTGTCATCATGATTGCATGATCGAAGAAGAAACCCTAAGGGTATGTTTGGTTCAAGGAATGTTAGATTACGGGAATGTCAGATTGCTGGGTATGTTATATTGATGGGAATGTATTCAATTGATTCCCGTTTGTGTTTGGTTAACATCAAGAGAATGTGTCATAATTTATTTGGTTGAAAGATATCTTATATTGTAGATATGATGAATTACTTTTATGCCCTTTAACTCTATAACTTTTATAACATAAATACCTTAAAAAATTTAAATGTTAAGGCAAAAAAATATGCAAACAAGAATAAACATTCGAATATAATTAATACTTTGTTCGTCCCACCTAAAAGGTTGTTACACAATTTACGATGTTCGACTGACCATGAAACTAACCGATCTCTGTCAATAATAAGATTATTTTTAGTAAATAAAATTTACATATTTAGACACTACATTAAAAGTTTTATAAAGTCACAAAAAAATAAATTTGATAACAGTTGAATATATAAAGAAATTAAATGAAAAGTAATAATTAATTGAAGGTATTTTCGGAAGAAAATTAGATCACCATGGGAATGTGAGATAACCTAAGGCATGGATGGGTTTAACATTCCCCTCCATATAACATTCCCGGGAATGTAACTTTCCCGATTTTTCTTCAAACCCGTGAACCAAATAAGGGTATCTAATATTCCGTGCATCACATTCCGGCCTTCATGTGAGATTACCCCCAACCAAACGAGCCCTAAGCGGCATTGGCTAGCAACTATTTTGGTGGATATTGGCAGAGGTTGGGGACGGGAGGCGGCTGGCAGTGCAGATGAGCTGTGATTTAGGGTTTTCTATGGTTTTTAATTTTTTATATTAAGGGTGTTTTAGTCCTTTCAATTATATTTGGCCTCTGTTTTGTCCAAATTAAAAGTTGGTCCTATATTTGTCTATTGAAAAGCCTATAGTAATATTTTTCATTCTTTATTTAGTAATTATGGAGTAGTAATTATCTTGCATACAAAAACTCATAAAAAGGTAGTGCTATACATAGAGTACCCTTAATCGGTCACATTCTTGATTTAGTTGATCAATAGTTAAGATGAATCAACAGGGAAAGTTGGAAAATTATCATTTAATGCAACAGATGGAGTAGAGTTGTTTCCTTTAATGTTCATGAATACGGGTTTACTACAGGAAAAATCGGGTATGGTACTGTCAGTGAGGCCCTTGCATACAAGCTACCGTTTGTCTTTGTGCGCAGAGACTACTTTAATGAAGAACCTTTTCTGAGAAATATGCTCGAGGTACAATGTTTTGGTTCAATAAGGTTATTTCTTCATCAAAGATCTCTGTTTAGTATTTGAACGTGTACCTTAACATGAAATCTTTAAAAATTAATATCAACCAGAACTATCAAAGTGGCGTCGAGATGATCAGAAGGGATTTGCTTACTGGGCACTGGAGGCCTTACCTCGAACGTGCAATTAGCCTGACACCATGCTATGAGGGAGGCACTAATGGTGGTGAGGTAACCTCATATTTTTTATTTGGACAAATTGCTGTCTTTTTAGTTATTACATTGGGTACTCCTAAGTTTCTAGTGGTCGCCAAGAATACTGTGTAAAGTAAAGAAGATAGGAAATTTCAGGAACACGAAGTTTGGAATATGTAACCTCTTACATATGCAAACCCATATTTTTCATGATTCTATTATATTACATGCAGTATGTTCTAATAAATTGGCAACACTTCAGGTTGCAGCTAATGTTTTGCAGGATACGGCTTTGGGCAAAAACTATACATTGGACAAGGTATATAGAAAAATGCCCCCTTTATCTGTTTTAAAATTTTGTTATGCTTGGTGTTGGGCTGTAGGCTTCGGCCCATTCAGATCTGGGAGCCAAATAAACAGAGAGCAGCAGCCTGCGCTAGTTAAATGTGCAGGCAGCCCTAGTTGGGCCTGTTTCTTTGGTGGCAGTCAGGCCCAGAACCTTATTAAGTGTTTTACCCTAATTGTTTGTGTACATATATTGACTCCTGTACTTGTAAACTATGACTTGTATAGTTGTATCATTGATCATCTCAATAAGAAAGGAAACCCTAGTTGCCCCCGTGGATTAGGTCAGTAACACTTACTGGCTGAACCACGTTATATTCGTGTGCCGTTCTTCTCGTTCTTTTTTAGTTTTTCAGATTCGTGCGTGTGTGAGATCTAACCCTAACAACTGGTATCAGAGAAAGGTTAGCCACCACCACATATTCGACCATCACCACTGCTGCCGCCCTGCGTCTTCAGCCTCCTTGTGCCACCAACAGTGCGCTGCCGCAGAAGAATATAGCCGGCAGATTGTGAAGGACTGGGACAATGACAGATGACGGAAAAACCAAAGTCGAGAAGTTTGATGGACAAGATTTTGGATGGTGGAAGATGCAAATTGAGGATTTGCTGTGTCAGAAGGATTTGGATCAAGCCTTGACAGGGAAAAGACCAGAAAAGATGAGTGATGATGAATGGGCTGCTCTAGACAGGAAAGCTTTGGCTGTTATCAGATTTACCCTAGCCAAGAGTGTGGCATTTAACATCTTGAAGGAGATTACTGCATGTGGTTTGATGAAGGCTTTGTCAAACATGTATGAGAAACCATTGGCATCAAACAAGGTATTTCTGATAAGACAGCTAGTAAACACCAGAATGAAAGAAGGTGCATCCGTTACCTCACACGTTAATGAGTTTAATACTATCATATCCCGTTTACTATCTGTTGATATTAAGTTTGAAGATGAAGTTCAAGCTTTATTCTTGTTATCCTCGTTACCAGAAAGTTGGTCAGGAACAGTCACTGCGATTAGCGGTTCAACTGGAACCTCTAAACTCACATTTGAGGGCATTCGTGACATTATCCCAGGAGAGGATATAAGAAGGAGGAGTTCTGGAGAATCTTTTAGTGCTTTGTTAAGTACTGAAGGGAGAGGTAGAAAGAAAGAGAAGGGAAATGGCAGAGGCAGATCAAAGTCTAGAAAGAGGAGCCAGTCAAAACCGAGAAAAGATATTCAATGATGGAACTGCAAAGAAACTGGCCATTTCATAAATCAATGCCCTAAATCTTCAGAAAGGAAGGAAATAAATGCAGCCACTGACGATTCAGATAATGCCCTTATCTGTTGTGTTGAAAACTCAACAGAAATGTGGATTATGGATTCTGGTGCATCATTTCATGCTACTTTCAGGACGAAGGCGATGAAGAATCTACGGACATGTAATTTTGGTAAAGTTCGTTTGGCTAATAACGACTCTCTTGACATCACAGGGATGGGTGACATAGACTTAAAGACTTCATTGAGCACCACTTGGACATTGAAAGACGTTCAGGTCATTCCAAACCTTAAGAAGATGTTGATTTCTATTGGGCAGTTGGATGATCAGGGATTTGATGTTACTTTTGGTGAAGGACAATGGAAAGTTGTCAAGGGGAATCTTGTAATCGCCAGAGGCAAAAAGAGGTGTACTTTATATATGGTTGAAGCTCCTGATGATGAGATGAATGCAGTGACCAGCAGGCTGAATCCATCCAGTTTGTGGCATCAACGGCTAGGCCACATGAGTGAAAAGGGAATGAAGATGCTCGTTGCAAGGGGGAAACTTCCGGATTTGAAAAAGGTGTATTCCGAGTTCTGTGAGCCTTGTGTACTTGGCAAGAAAAAGAAGGTTTCTTTTGTGAAGACAGGTCAGACACCGAAAACTCATAAGCTGGAGCTGGTTCACACGGATGTGTTTGGGCCAACGCCAGTCTCTTCCCTGGGAGGATCAAGCTACTATGTGACCTTCATTGATGACTCAACACTCAAGGTATGGGTCTACTTTCTTAAAAATAAGTTTAAGTTTTCAATATTTTTAAGAAGTGGAAAACTGCTGTTGAATTGGAAACTAATCTGAAGGTAAAGAGCTTGAAATCGGACAATGGTGGTGAATACATTAGCACGGAGTTTATTGATTATTGTGCTTAACATGGCATTCGGATGATAAAGACGGTTCCAGGCACTCCTCAACAGAACGGAGTGGCAGAAAGGATGAACAGAACTTTGAATGAGAGGGCCAGAAGTATGAGACTTAATGCTGGGCTTTCAAAGACGTTCTGGGCTGATGCAGTGAACACTGCCACTTATCTTATCAACCGGGGGTCATCAGTACCATTGGGTTTCAAGATACCAGACGAAGAGTGGAAAGGAGAATCGGTAAAGTATGGGCATTTAAAGGTATTTGGATGCAATGCTTATGATCTTATCAAAGATGGTGATAAGTTAAATGCTAAAGTGAAGAAATACACTTTCATTGGATACGGGGGAGACAGCGTGGGTTATCGACTTTGGGACTTTGAAAGTAGAAAGGTAATCAGAAGTAAACATGCTACATTCAACGAGGCTGAACTTTATAAAGACAGAAGCACAGAAAACTCAAAGATTCAGAAAGAGCAGGTTGTTTTTGAAAATGATGTCATCAAAAGCAGATAGTCTGAAGATACTCAAGACAGTGGGAGCATGGAGAATGATTCCAGTACTGACGAGTCTGAGGATGATGAAGACTCTGTTGATAGTGAAAATTCAGAGGATGAAGGAGCACCTTCACCTGTGCCGCACCGAGTTGAAACACAGTGGGTCAGAAGATCCACTAGAGTCACTAAACCTCCAGAAAGATTCAGTCCTTCAGTCAATTATCTCCTTTTGACTGAAAATGGAGAACCAGAAAGTTACTTCGAAGCAGTAAAGCAGAATGATTCGTTTCAGTGGGAGCAGGCTATGAAAGAAGAAATGGATGCCTTACACAAGAACAAGACATGGGTTCTTACTAAGCTTCCGCCAGGTAAGAAGGCACTTCAAAATAAATGGGTATTCAGAATCAAGGATGAACCTGATGGGTCAAAACGGTACAAAGCCCGTTTAGTGGTCAAAGGTTTTCAGCAGAAAAAGGGAGTGGATTATAATGAAACTTTTTCTCCAGTGGTTAGAATGACCACCATCAGATTGGTTCTAAGTATTGTAGCTGCAGAGGTGCTTTAAACAACATTTCTACATGGCGATCTTGATAAGAATATCTACATGGCACAGCCTGAAGGATTTCATGTCGTTGGTAAAGAAAATCTGGTCTGCAAACTAAAACGGAGCTTATATAGTCTTAAACAGGCACTGAGGCAGTGGTATATGAAGTTTGATAACTTCATGATAAGGACAAGTTATAGAAGATGTGAGATGGACCATTACTGTTACGTGAAGAGGTTCAAGAGTTCATATATCATTCTACTTCTCTATGTAGATGACATGTTGATAGCTGGTGCAGATATGAAAGAGATCAGCAGGTTAAAGAAACAAATGTCTCAAGAATTTGAAATGAAAGATTTGGGTCCAGCCAAACAGATTCTAGGGATGAGCATAGTCAGAAACAAGGAGAATGGTTCTTTAACACTATCCCAGGAGAAGTACATTGGGAAAGTGTTGGAGAAATTCAAAATGAATGGCGAGAAGACTAAACCAAGAAACACGCCTTTGGGAAGTCACTTCAAGTTTACCAAAGACCAGTCTCCGAGAACAAACGAAGAAAAAGCAGAAATGGCTAAAGTTCCTTTTGCATCTGCAGTCGGTAGCCTCATGTATGCTATGGTGTGCACGAGACCAGATATAGCTCATGCAGTCGGGGTTGTTAGTCGCTTCATGATAAAACCAGGGAGGGAACATCGGGAAGCAATAAAATGGATACTTAGGTATTTGAAGGGTACTACAAAGATGGGGTTATGTTTCATAGGTAAAGACGTGATTTTGAGAGGGTATTCTGATGCTGATTTGGGTGGATGCAAAGAGACATTTAAAAGCACTACATGGTACATTTTTACCGTGGGAGGAACTGCAGTTAGTTGGATGTCCAAATTTCAGAAAAGTGTAGCTCTTTCAACAACCGAAGCAGAGTACATGGCAGTTGCTGAAGCCAGTAAAGAGCTGGTTTGGTTGAGGAACTAGCAAGCAGATTACTCGTTACACTGTGATAATGAGAGTGCGGTGAAACTTGCCAAGAATCCAGTCTATCATGGGAAAACAAAACACATTGGGATGAGATATCACTTTGTCAGAGGGTTGATCACTGCAGGAACGATGAACTTGAAGAACATCTCAGGTGCAAAGAATCCAGCGGATATGTTCACTAAATCTGTGACGCTGGACAAGCTGAAGTTCTGTGTAACTTTAGCTGGCCTTCAAGAATAATGTTGAGAAGGCAGGTGGCAACTAGGAGGAGCTAAACACAGATGAAGTTTACAGAAGTACAGAGGAGTGGAGTGCAGTTGATCGTGTTTCGAAGCCTCCAAGTGGGAGATTGTTGGGCTGTAGGCTTTGGCCCATTCAGATCTGGGAGCCAAATAAACAAAGAGCAGCAGCCTGCTCTAGTTAAATGTGCAGGAAGCCCTAGTTGGGCCTGTTTCTTTGGTGGCAGTCAGGCCCAAAACCTTATTAAGTGTTTTACCCTAATTGTTTGCGTATATATATTGACTCCTGTACTTGTAAACTATGACTTGTATAGTTGTATCATTCATCATCTCAATAAGAAAGAAAGCCCTAGTTGCCCCCGTGGATTAGGTCAGTAACACTTACTGGCTGAACCACGTTATATTCGTGTGCCGTTCTTCTCGTTCTTTTCTAGTTTTTCTGATTCGTGCGTGTGTGAGATCTAACCCTAACACTTGGAATCTTCCTTTTGTTGCTATATTAATTTTATGTTTGGTAGTAGTTTACTGGTAATTTTCTGGTGGATTGCTATTTTCATATAATC